GGGCGGGCGCGGCGGGCGGGCTGGCCCCGGGGGCCGACGACTTCCGGCGGGGAGCGGCTCTCCTGAGGACGGGGTTGCGCGTTTTGGAGTTCGCTGGTGGGTGTTGCCCTGGGGGGTGTGGACTTGTTTTGCGTTTATTTGAAACTTCATTTCCGCCTTCCTGGTGGCTATTTCAATTGCTTGATTTTCTCGTAAAATTTACTGGTACTTTTACTGAGATAAGCAAGTACGCAGGCTAATGTTTACTGTCTATTTTAGTTTGAGTTGATTTCTCTGATTTGCTGGCAGCAGCTTTTCTGTTATTTCTCTACCTTGCCGTGCACCTTTCTGGGTTTTTGTTTTTTGGAGGGGCGTTATTCTTAATGTTTTTCAGTATTTATTTTGGCGGGGGATAGAGTTTAGGCTAGCCTTAAACTTTCTACCGAGGCAGCGACCCTTCTGCCTCAGCCTTGAGTGATGGGATTACAGGTGTCCACCACCACGCAGGGGGGCACCTGCACTACAGTTGTGTCCCACCCGGCTGTCAAGATTCTTTTTCCCTGGCACCTCCTAAGGCTCTGTGCTGGGTTGTCAGGCCATGCTTCGGGGAGCTTCGGAGCAGGAGTGGTCCTCCGGCTCCTGGGTGTGTGGGTTTGGGGTGGGATGGGGGCGGGTCTTGCCAGGTTCTTGTGAGCGCCCGCACCTTCTCTAATCTCCCCTCTTGTTTTTGCAGCGTTTCTCTTCCTGGTGCTGTCGGGGCGTCTGTGACGGGACATGGCCAAACTTCAGTCATGGCCCTGAAGCTATGGCCTCTGCACCCCAGAAACCTGCTCGGGTGGGGCAGCCCCAGCAAGGCGCTGTAAACTGTTTGGATTTAGTTCGTTTAATAAAAGATGAAATGCAGTATCCCGAGTGAGAGTAAAAAAATCACGCTAAGGGATGGATGGGGTTGGTAAACCATTTATTTCCCATAGCCCAAGGACCCCATCCCGCCGGGAATTCATAGGGCCTCTGATGAAGCATGTGAAATGCTTGTAAAAAACTAAGGGAGCAAAGGAAGTTAATTTTTTTTAAAAAGCAGCTGTACCTTTTCGGAGTCACTGCTTGGAAATGACGACAAGCGGGTCTTCCCGGGCTTGTGGAGAGCTGTCAGCCAGGCTTCCTGGCAGGCACTAGGGAGTCCAACAAGCAGGCAGGTGCTGGACGTTTGTCCATCCCACCCAGCTGACGTGGCTAACGGTGGCCAGGGGAGCCCTGCCTCAGAGAGGACACTCCTTCCAGCCCCTCCCCTTAGCCAGGCTAGATGTCTCCTTACTGGTACCTATGGCCCACTAGAGTTGGTGACAGTTTACTAACTTGTCATAACGAAAACGGCTGACAAAGAAAAAAGATACTTCTGAGTTGCTAATTTTCTACCCATGGAAATCCCTTGACTCCCTCCTGGCTCCCAAGGCCCGGAGCGGAGAGCCAGCCTGTGCTGGTAGGCGGTGTCCAGGTACCAGGAGGGGGCCCTCGCTGTCCAGCACTGGCCACCGCCTGCTCACCTCCACTATGTGAGGACGTCCACCTCTGTCTCTGACTCTGAGGAGGGATCAGGCCACACTGAGGGGGCACCGGCGGGCAGCAGCCTGGCTCCTGTCCAGTGCACCACATCGATTTCCTCGTCTTCAGAGCTGTTCGTCCCTGGGCCAGGAGTAGGGCACAGCTCGTGCACGGCCAGACACGTGGCCAGCCCTCTCTCTGTCCAGCTGGAGCCTGGCGTCGAGGGGCATCCAGGGGAGCTGGGGTGGCCATCCGGTGGCTGGGCGATGGCCAGCTCAAGGTCTGAAGTCCAAGTGCTGCTCACTGGAAGCGCCTCATCTGCCCCGACCGCGGAGGGCGCAGGGAGGGCGCCAAGGGGCCTGGGCTCTCTGTTCTCGCCAGCAGGCTCCTTTTCCAATCCCTCCAGCTCCCTGGACCAAAGTTCCAGGTCTGGCAAGCACCATTCCTCCGCTTCCATCCAGTTCCCTCCCGCTCCTGTCAGGTGGTAACTCGGGGTTCTGCAGCCCTCAGCCCCGGGGCTCTCTGGGGACCTGACCGGTGGCCCTATGTCCGAGCCACACAGCACCAAGTTCAGGATGTCCTCCAGCTCGCTGGTGGCCATGGAGCTTGAGACCCCGTCACAGTGCTGCCCGCGCAGGGCGCTCCCAAAGGCACAGGGCTCGCTGTGGTCTCCGCTCAGCATGGGCTCCTTCCCCAGCAGCTGGGGGCTGGACCCAAATGCCCTCCCCACCCCAGGCTGGTCTGGGGAGTGACCGGCAGTCAGCATGATGTCCAGCGCCCCGGTGCCTTCAGGGGAGTCCTGATACAGCTCGATTCTGGCAGAGGATACCTGCTCACCGACAGGGGACTCCTGCATGTCCCCAGGTGCTGGGGCCTGGGTGCTCTCTGTGGGGTTGCTGAGGGCCGGGGGCGGCTCCTGCACGACCTCCCAGCAGGTGCCATTGACCACTTTCCGCAGCTTCACCCTGCCAACCTGCCCCTCTTCCGTGGAGTCTGGGCCAGGTGCCGCGGCCTCGGGGCTCCGCTTCTTGCTCCCACCTGGCCTGCCAGGCCCAGAGGGGGAAGGGGTTCCCTGCAGAGGACTGGCTCTGCATGGCTTCTGCTTGTCCTCTGCTGCATCTCTGTTTATCCGCCGTCGCCAGAGCCGTCGGCCAGGGACCGCAGGGGCTGCGCTGGGTCCGCTTGATGTGCCAGGAGCCCTGGTCGTACCGCCACTGGGAGGTGGCTTAGAGCGGCTCAGCCGGATCTTCCTGGGCAGCAGCTGCTGGTCCCCAGAAGGGGACAGGCTGGGTGGGGCTGGTGCCGCAGGCCCAAGCCCAGGGTCTGGCTTGTCAGCCCCAGGCTCCTGACCACGGCCTGCCAAGCTCTCCCCTTGTGGAGCCCGGCAGGCCCTGGGCTTCCCCGGGAGCAGCAGTGTGCTCGGGATGCGCTCCGCGCTGGGCTGGGTGCCCTCTTCTGGGGCACCCTCCTCTTGCCCCAGATGCACCGACCCTGCTGCCCTGGGGGGACAGGGAAGCTGGGGGGCTGGCAGCGGCGTTCGAGGGTGGTGGCCAGGAGCCAGCACGCTGGTAGAAGGGGGCACAGCGCTAGGCTGGAGGCACTCGCGGTTCAGCCTGCGGCCGGGTGGGGCCTTCACCAGCCTGCCCCCTTCCAGCTGCAAGGACTCCAGCTCACACACACGGAGCTGGCGGGCTGCCGACAGCACGTCCTGGACTTCTTCCCGGGACACCTCCATCTCCGATGTGTACAGGAAGTCCACCAGCTTCCGCAGGGTCCTGATCTTCAGGCCCCCCAGCTCCAGGACCACCTTTCGACCGGGCACTGGTCTCTCCTGCTCCAGGCGCTCCGTGAAGAAGGGGCTGCAGGCCGACAGGACGCAGCAGTGCGCTTGCACGGCCTCACCTAGGGGAGAGCCACAAGTGTGTGTTACACTCATGCCCTGGCAGTGGAGCGGGCACACGGACAGTGCCACCCACGGTGCTGGCCTGCCTTTGGCTCTGCTGCGAGAACGTGCAAGGAAAAGGAGAGGTCTGCTCTGTGGCCTGGGACCACCCACGACTCCCTTGGGCTTCACTTGTTCTCATCCTCAGGGCCCAGCTCAGCCGTGGGTCCCTCCAGAAAGCCGCCTCCAGCCCACGGCTAGGGAATGCCGCCCCTGAGGTCCTCCGCAGCAGTGGGCACTTTCCCTTCGTGCCGCTCTTGGAGGATGTCCAGCACTGGAAACCAAGCAGGCTCCATGCATTGCTCGCCATGGAGCAGGGCATCGGGTACTTGCTGGTACACTGTTAACGACTCACTTAAGAATTCAAAATCGGTCACAGAAGCAGTTTAGGATCTCACAAAAAGCAAGGTCTGTTGAGGCTGAGCTTTACCACTGCCTGCTCTGAGCCACCTCATTTTATTGGCACCCCTCAGGCTCGCCCATGGCTGTGCGTGCCAGACTCAAAGACATCCCCCCAATCCAGATCTCTCCACATATTGCTTTCCTTAGGGCAGATATGTCACAGCTTGCAATTTCACACGGATGCCTCACAAACCCCTCCAATGCGCCCTCCCTAGAGAATGAACTCATGCTGAGCATCGAGGTGCACACCTGTAAATCTAGTACTTCAGAGGCTGAGGCAGGAGGATTGTGAGTTTTAAGCCACCCTGGACTACACAGTGAGTTCAAGACTGGCCTGGAGGACACAGAAGACCAGGCCATGATAAAAAGAAAAAATCTAGGTGTGGTGGTATATGCCTGTAATCCCAGTACTTAGGAGGCTATGGCAGGAGGACTGCAAATAGTTCAAGGCCAGCCTGGGCTGCATAGCAAGACCCTGTCTCAGAAAACCACAAAAAGGAAAAAAAAAAAAAAAAAAGAAGAAAAAAGTGAACTCATCATTCCATTCCCCCAAACCACCCCTTTTTTCTACCTTAACGTAAGGCATCACATGCATCCAGCTGTCCAAGCCTGAAAACCTGAAGCCATCTAACTCTTCTCTCCCTTACCCATCACATTAATACCTTTTTTGTTTCTTAGATAGAATCTCTAGTTCAGGCTGCCTGAAACTCATGATCCTGCTCCAGCCTCTTGAGTGCCGGAGGTGTATGCCACCATACCCAACTCAAATAGCAATTTTTTTTTTGGTACCAGGAATTGAACTTAGGACCTTGTGCTTGTCAGGCAGGCACTTGTGCCACTGAGCTTTATATGGCCCCAAATAACAATTTTTAAAAGACTGTATTATGTGCCACCAGGCACTGTTCTAAGGGTTTCACCAGTACTAATCCAATTACTCTTCACTGCAATCCTAAGAAGTAGCTACTAATACTGTAGGTGAGTAATCTGAGATAGAGCTGAACGACAGGGCCACAATTAGTAAGCAGCAGGTGTGTAAACTTTGAAGCGTCTCTGCTCTCAATTGTTCCAGCAACTTTTATAAATTCTCTTCAGAAGCCCAAACATTTCTCTCTGTCTCAGTGCCTTAGTTCTGGCCACCATCTTCTCCCTCCTGGATTACAAACAGCTTCCTTTTCAAGCTTTATGACCATGCAGTGATTCTTAATTAGCCTGAGTGTCATTTCTGAGTGGGAATCAGACCGGAACCTCTGGCTCAGAACTCAGACAGCAGCTTGCTACTGCCCTGAGAATAAGACCTCCTGCCTCAAACCCTGGTGATTTTTTGTCTGACTGAAAAAAAATGAATCTGAGCTGTACACTTACCAAAAGAATCAACAGACAATACGTTTAACTGGAGACCTCAATTCAATCTGTAGAACTAGAACCACGTAACACTACTTACCTCACACAGCTGTTAGACTCGTGAGTCACTACATGGCACTACTCTGCAAACTATAGGGTACTATCCAACGTCACAATCCTTTTGTTTGTTCATTTCTTTTTTTTGTACTGGGTATGGAAATCATGACCTTGCACTTGCCAGGCGGGCACTGTGCTTCTGAGCTATATCCCTGGCCCTTGTTTCCTTTTCTTTTTTTTGGTACTGGAAATCGAACTCAAGACCTCGCATTTGCCAGGCAGATGCTTGTGCCACTGAGCTACATCCCCAGCCCGTTTCCTTTTCTTGAGACAGGGTCTCACTGTGCAGTTCAGGCTGGCCTTGAACTCACTCTGTGGCCCAGGCTGCAAACTTGGCATTTTTCTTGCCTCAGCCTCCCTGAGTGCTGGGATTATAGGTGTGCGCCACCATGGCTGGCCACAATCTTTTTTTTGTTCTCTTTAATGGAATCTTGCATATACACTAAGAAATGAACTTTGATTTTTTTTTTTTTTTTTTTTTTTAATAGATGAAGAAACTGAGCTCCACAGAGATGAAATTACTTGCTTGTTTGACAGTTACCAAGTAACAAAGTTGGAAGTAAATCCAGGGCTTCTAACTACTAATTTTGAGTCTTCTACATTATACCATTATGCTGATTTAACATTTTTATGTGTAGAGAAGGGGTGGAAATAAGCTATACATTTTTTGCTCCACCAACAAACAACAAGAATCACCCATTTAGACATAAGAAAAGAAATTTAGCAACAGTTTGCAAAGAAAATGGGAAAACGTGTCATCTAACACTTATATTGTAGTTAGTACATTAAAAGCATTGTTTTAAGTGTTTAACATATGCTAATCTAATCTTCACAACCATCCCATTAGAATATTAGCACATTTTAGAGAATTTTTATGCTCACAGAATTTTACAATTAATTTCATTTTTTTAAAAAAGAAAAAAAAAAAAAAAAAAAAGCAGGGCCTTGAACTCATGATCCTGCCTCAGCCCCCTGAGTGCTGGAGGTGTATGTCACCATACCTAACTCAAATAGCAATTTTTAAAAGGCTATATTACATGCCACCAGGGCCTGATATGCTGCAAGCCTGTAATCCCAGCATGAGGGAGGCTGAGGCAGGAGGACTGCAAGTTTGAGTCCAGCATGGGTGACATCACAAGTTCAAGGCCAGCCTGGAGTACACATAGTGAGACCTTGTATATCAAAAAAAACCCCAAAAAAACAAAAAACCCAAAAGCATAGTCGCACTTTCACACTTGAGAACAGTAACTGTCCCAGAAACAAACACCTCTTTACCAAATAGTTTACAGTCCTGAGAGGTGATATTCTTCTGGTTTTGCCCTTCACCCGGCCTTAAACTCATTCCATCTTATTCAGTGGTGGGTTTTGGTGGAGTCCTGCCAGGCTCTCACCTTCAGCTTGCAGCAGGACATCACAGAACACGCCACTCTGCTGCTGGTGATGAAGCTGCAGAAAGGCCAAGTGCAGGAAGCGGGGGTTCCTGTACAGGATTTTGGAGCTGGCAGGAGAGCACATGTTGGCAGGCTCTGAAGACGGAGTCTTGGTTTTCACAGGTCAGATTTCTGCAGGTGAAATCATACATTTCAGAGGCATAGTTATGCTTTACTTTTCGTCTTTAAAACAGGGAAATTCTGAAAGTGAGAAATAATAGGATGAGTTGAGGAGACATCAATGCAGAAGTTGGGCCAAGAGTATTTGAAGAAAAAATACGCCGGTATATGTTACACGTGGGAAAAATAAAGCCTAGACTTGAATCTAAAATGTGTGGTTTTTGTTTGTTTGTTTGTTTGTTTTTCCGTATTGGGGACTGAACTCAGGGCTTTTGCACTGAACTATATTCCCAGCCCTTTTAAATTTTGAGATAGGATCTAACTAGGTAAGTTGCCCAGGGCTCCAACTTCTCATCTGACGAGTCTCAGCCCCACAAAATGCTGGAATGACAGGCATGTGTCACCAGGCCTGGCTTCCAGGCTGTTAGCCTGGCTGTATAACGTAATACATGTGACCTAAGCTTTGAGTCTCACTTTCCTTATCCACGAAATAGGAATCGTAACAGGGCTTACCTGCTAGCGGTGTTTTAAAAATTAAGTGAGCTACAGGAAAGATCGCTAAGCACAGCATGTGCTTGGCATAAGTAAACAGCATCCCCCAAATGGCAGCTATTATTACCATTCACTCTTTCTCACTCACATTTCTGCGGACTCGAAGCCCCAGTTCCACGGGTACGAAGCCCCATCTGGCACTTCCGTGTGTGTGTGGTATCAGGGAATGAACTCAGGGCCTTGTGCATGCTAGGCAAGCACTCCACCACTGAGCTACATCCCAGTCCACCATCGGGCACTTTTAAGGACAGAACACTGGCCCATACACACTCTAGGAAGTCACATGCACTTTCTTTTCACTGAGCTCACTCCACACCAACCAGCAGGGGGTGCACGTGAAGAGAAGACCGAGACAGAAATAAGGACACTGCCATCCTTGGTTCAACTGTTCCTGATCAAACCCAGCCTGAAGGACCCTAAAGGGGCAAAAATGTGGCCTTGCAGTCTGTCTGCTTCGTTAATTACCCGGCTAACCGTGGAGCCAGGCCTGGAAAGCACTGTACTCCCAGAACAAACTGGAGAGCCCGACACTGGGTCTCTGGCATTCCCGGAGCCTTAGCACAAAGCCCACACTCACGGGAGGGCGGTGTGTATTCCTCTCCCGGCGTGCAGGTCTCCATCAGGTGACACTTACGGCCTGAACAGAGTCTGCCAACACTGTCAGGAGATAAAAGGGCAGAAAGGTAAATTCAAAAGGGCAGGCTCAGGCCAAGCATGGTGGTGGTGCACACCCGTAATCCCAGCACCCGGGAGGCTGAGACAGGAGGATCGCAGCAAGTTCGAGGCCAGCCCAAACTACACTGCGAGGTTCTGTCTTAAAAATGGCCAGGCTCAACTCTGATGCCAGCCGAGCCGCGGGCGTGCGGGAGCCCGTGCAGGGCCGCACTCACTGAGGCCACCCGGCCTCGCCGCAGGCCCCACCTGAGATCGCTCTGCAGCGGCTGCGCCCTGCTGGCCTTCCGGGCTGCGCCCCACGTCCTGCGGCAGCCCCCAC